CACCAGAGATGTGCTTTTATCTGATGAGCTACTTCAGTGGCTTTATTGTGGTTTTGTTTGTAATTTATGCATATCCTAGTTTGGATATAATTTCTGGTTTTATCTGAGGCTTGCTTGCTCTGGAGGACTTAGTTTCCAGTATCATTCATTGAGAAAACTATCAAACTATATTAGATACAGGAATACACTCAATATCAAGTTAACTAACACAAAACCAATGACTAAAAATGTACAGTGTACTATGAAGTGAAAAAACATTAAACATTAATCAGGTTAAAAATTAAAATAGTAAATGAATGAGATAAAGGGTAGTACCAGAGGAAACTAGAGCACAAACAAGGGTAAAGAGGAAAAATAACAAGCCAAGAAGCATGTTACTGAGGAGACAAGGGCAAAAATATTAGAAAAAAACTAAAGTATTTTCTAATAAGGAAATTCATAAATGTAAAAAAGGGATATGAAAGCATAAAACTTTTTTGAAAATAAAGGTAGTACTCAGAAGATGTGCCTAACCCTCAAGAAACTGGAGGCCCTAGGGAGTGGGGAGGTCTGGTGGGGTAAAGGATGTAGAACAGTCAGAGGGTGGACCAGGAGGGGGATAAAGTCGGGACTGTAAAAAAAAAAGATTAAATTAAAAAAAAAGAAAATAAAGATAGTAAAAATAAACAAATAAAGATTACCCAATAATGAAAAATATGTATAAACAAAACTAGATCAATGGCATGGAGAATAAAAAAGTAAAACAATAGTTTTAAGAAGACATATTAACATAAAAATGTGGAGAGATGGCTCTGTGGTCACTAACACTGATTCCTCTCAGAGGGTTTGATTCCCAGCACCCATATGTGGCTCACACTGTCTGTAAGCCCAGTTCTAGGGGATCTGATGCCCTGTTCTAGCCACGATAGGTACCTGGCACTCATTAGAACACATGTATACATGTAAGGAAAACACCCATCTACATAAAACAAAACACCTCAACAATCCAAAAAAGTAAAAAGACTTCTAAAAGTATATTAAAAAGAAAACCCCAACCAACCAACCAACCAACCAACCAACCAACCAACCAACCAACCAGTCAACCAACCAACCAACCAGTCAACCAACCAACCAACCAACCAACCAACCAACCAACCAACCAACCAACCAGCCAACCAACCAACCAACAAACTAGTCAACCAACCAACCAACCAACAAACCAGTCAACCAACCAGTCAACCAACCAGTCAACCAACCAGCCAGCCAGCCAGCCAGCCAGCCAGCCAGCCAGCCAACCAACCAACCCAACCAACAAGAGAAATACAAGAGAAAAATATTAAACTTTGGAGTGGCTTCTTCCCCCCATCTTTGAAAACTGGGGACTATCAGGTACACATATGGGTTGGGTGAAAGGTCAGTTGAACTTCCTAGGATTTATACCATAGCTAAGCTTGTTTTGCCGGGTGGCTGATGCCTGCGGGAACAAGCTTCGGTTCTGTACCTTCTCTTTACATACCAGGGGCTGTTGCTGGTCACACAGCTCTGCGTTCTGGTCTGGAGAGATTCTTTTATACTCTCCAGTTCACTCTGTTGGAGTGGGTAATGCTATGGCTGGGGATTGGTTCTTATAAGTATTGGGAGTGGGGGAAGCCAGCAAATCAGAGATCGGTACAGGCAGAGCTGTTTTCATACTTTCAAAACCTGCCAAGTGTTCATCACCCTGCTGGTGAGAGGCAGCTCTGATGCCAAGTCTTCCACTGGGGCTTTGCAGTTTAAACTTAGCACTGAATCAGCAAGTTAGCTGGCTCTAGAAACTCGTCTACTGCAGTCTTCTGGCCCAGTGTCCTAGTTAGTGTTACTATTGCTATGATGATACACTATGACCAAGATCAAATTGGGAAGAAAAGGGTTTGTCTTACACCGCCACATTGCACACCATCACTGAAGGGAGTCAGGGCAGAAATGTGAGCATTGCAGGAGGAACCTAGGCAGGTGATGCTTTAGTCATGGAGTAGTGCTGTTTACTGCCTTGTTCATCTTACTTTGACCACCAGCCCAGGGATGGCCTCAGCCACAATGGGCGGAGCCCTCTCACATCAATCACTAATTAATATCCCACAGGCCTGTATACAGCCTCTCCAGTGACTCTAGCTTGTATCAACTGACATAAAACTAGCCAGCGCACTCGTGGTTACTGAACTCTTTATTATCATTATTTGATGAGGTCTGCTTCCAGGTACTGGTGGGCTACCTCTCCCTGCTCTTTGAAGTGTAGGTACTCTTGTTCTACATGTCTCTTTGTATTGTCTCACCCCGAGATGCCGAACGGTTGAATCCAGGAATGCTAAGTTGATTGTCCCATGTTGTTTAACACAGTGGGTTTCTTCTCCAGATGGCAACTGAGTAAATCTCAAGTTACAGTGGCTGTGAGCTTCCTGACCCGAGTGCTGGGAAGTGAACTCAGGTCTTCTGTATAGCAGTACTCATTCTTCACCACAGAGCCATCTTTTCAGTCCTAGGAAACCCTTCTTAAGCTAAATTATGCTGCAGCTGCAACTGTATCTAACTCAGCTTTCCTCATTTTGGTTCACTGTTCTGCTTTTCAACAGTTTCCATCTGTCTCATACTCTTGCTGTGCATTTCTGAACTGCTTCCCTTGTTTCTGTCTTTGGAAGACAGTCCATTAACCTTAAGCTGGTATTTCTGCTTTACTGGGTCACATGGAGGCACACTGTAGACTCCAATTTTAACTGGAAGTCTTAACAAAACTTCAAAACATTACCTTCTATATTACATTATTTCATACTGACTTTGGGATGACTAAGTAAAAGGTTGTGTGCTGGAGAGCTAAGAACCCACACATTGAAGGACTCACCACTTGTAATTCCTATTCCAGAAGATCTGACACTATCTCAGGGTATCTGTATAGACAGCACTCACATATACACAAAAAGCTTTAAAAAGAAATTCTAGTTAAAGCAAAGAAATCAAACGAAATTTGAGATAAACAAGCCTAAAAGCAAGTTCAACTTTATTGAAGCAATTTGGTCTTCTTATCAAGACTGAAATGTACAAAAGCCCAGTGGTATAACAGCTAGAAACTTACCAACTGAAATACTTGTTCAACAGCAAATATTGTAAGGAAAGACAGTATGTAACAGTTGGTAATGATAAAACCATAAAAACAGCTTGAATGCCTCTCAGTTGGGCATATATGAATGGGTATTAGTTTTTATTTATTATAAAAAAGCATTTATTTCATATACTATACATTAAGTATCCACAAAGGGACAACAATGAATGAACAGTGAGTGCATCACAGAAAAGTGTACCAGGGCACACTGCTATACTGCAATCTTTTCTTCAAAAGAATTATTAACAAAGGACCAACGGGATGGCTCAGTAGGTAAAGGATCTGGTTATAAGCCTAATGACTGTAACTTGATTCCCAGGAACCCACATGGTGTAAGTAGAGAATGGACTCCCAGAAGTTGTCCTCTTACCTCTACACACACACATGCATGCACATACAGACAAAATAAAAATGTAAGAAAACAGTTAAAAAGCAAAGCACTGTTAACTGTGATTAGCTTTAGGTAGTTGAATAAAAAGGTAGGTAAAATAGTGGGTCTTTTACTTTTTTAAAAAATTGGGTATTTTATTTACATTTCATGTTTTGGGCTTTTCAGGTCTCCCCTTTTGGAAATCCCATCTCCCTCCCCCTGCCTCAATGAGGGAGCTCCCTTACCCACCCACCCCTGCTTTCCCAAGCTCTGGCATTCCCCTACATTGGAGCACTGAACAGCCTCAGGCCCAAGGGCTTCTCCTCTCACTGACATCCAACAAGGCCATCCTCTGCCACATATGTGGCCGGAGCCATAGGTCCCTCCATGTGTACTCTTTGGTTAGTGGTCTAGTCCCCGGGAACTCTAGGGGTTCTGGCCAGTTGACATTTGCTACCCACTCAGGGCTGCAACCCCCCTCAGCTCCTTCAGTTCCTTCTCCAACTCTTCTATCAGGGATCCTGAGCGCAGCTCAATGGTTGGCTGAGAGCATCTGCCTCTGTATTTGTCAAGCTCTGGCAGAGCCTGTCAGGAGACAGCCATATCAGGCTCCTGTCAGCAAGCACTTCCCTGCATTCACAATGGTGTCTGGGTTTGGTGATTGTATATGGGATAGATCCTCAGGTGGAACAATCTCTAGATGAACTTTCCTTCAGTCTTTGCTTCACACTGTCTCCATATTTCCTCCTGTATTTTGTTCCCTCTTCTAAGAAGCACTGAAGAATCCACACTTTGGTCTTCCTTCTTCTTGCGCTTCATATGGTCTATGAATGAAATCTTGGGTATTCTGAATTTTTGAGCTAATATCTACATATAAGTGAGTATATATCACTTTTGGGACTGAGTTACCTCACTCAGGATGGTATTTTCAAGTTCTATCCATTTGTCTGCAAATTTCATGAAGCCATTGTTTTTAATAGCTGAGTAACACTCCACTGTGTAAATGTACCATATTTTCTGTATCCATCCCTCTGTTGAGGGGCATCTGGGTTGTTTTGAGCTTCTGGCTATTATAAATATGGCTGCTATGAACATAGTGGAGCATGTGTCCTTATTATATGTTGGAACATATTTTGGGTATATGCCCAGGAGTGGTATACCTGGGTCTTAAGGTAGTACTATGTCCAATTTTCTGAGAAACCTCCAGACTGATTTCCAGCATCTACTATCACCTGAGTGTTTGATCTTAGCCATTCTGACTAGTGTGAGGTGGAATCTCAGGGTTGTTTTGATTTACATTTCCCTGATGACTAAGGATGTTGAACATTTCTTTAGGTGCTTCTCGGCCATTAGATATTCCTCAGTTGAGAATTCTGTTTAGCTCTGTTCTCCATTTTTTAATAGGGTTACTTGGTTCTCTGGAGTCTAACTTCTTGAGTTCTTTGAATATATTGGATATTAGCCCTCTATCAGATGTAGGATTAGTAAAGATCTTTTCCCAATCTGTTGGTTGCCGTTTTGTCCTATTGACAGTGTCCTTTGCCTTACAGAAGCTTTGCAATTTTATGAGGTCTCATTTGTTGATTCTTGATCTTAGAGCATAAACCATTGGTGTTCTATTGGTGACATTATTTCAATAGGGGTTAAATGTGTAGGTAGAGAAGGGAGGGAGAGAGGGACTGGGGGTGGTGGTGGATGCTTTGTTTTCCTTTGCATTTTAGAAAACCAATATTTACACAGACACAGAGATGTTAAACTAAAACAGTTAAAGAATGACAACATACACAAATGCAGATGCACTTAATTTAAGCACAGGGATATGCCTAGACTCTTTATGATTTTTTTTGAGGCAAGATCTCAGGTAGCTCAGGCCAGCCTTGAACTGAACTGCTATGCAGCACAGCATGAGCTTGAACTCATGATCTTTCACAAGTGTTGGGATTGCAGGCACCTGCGACCCCCTTGCCCTGATGCTACTTTAAAGTATAGAGCACAGATCAGTTAACATTACCCTAAGATCTCAAACCACTTCATTAGCACCCTTTAAAACTCAAGAGGTTTCCATCGCATGTGCACACAGTATTAAGGAGCCTAGAAGTCCATCCTCACTCCACATGATCTCTCTGTGCTTTACAGTATCATACTTCTGCTTCAGAAGTGGTCTTCAGAGGCTCTGGTCTTCTGATCAGATCACCAAAATATGCAGTGATTGTCTTTAACTTCTTGTTAAGAAAGTTCTGTTCTATTTCCACTTGCCCTCCAATCCCAGCCAACGATGCCACCTGCCAGGAAAAACAGAGAAGTCACGCACGAGTAGGATTTCTCTCTCCCGCCACCGTTCCTCCTTTCCTTCCTTTTGGCATGGTCTAATTAAATAGCTCTGGCTGGCCAAATCCCTATGTAGACCAGGTTGTCCTCAAACTCACATCCTGCCTCCGCCTCCTAAGATTAATGTAATCTACAACCATGGTCAACACAAACATGATTTTCAAAACAGCCCCCCTCCCCTAGTGTATACCACTAGTAAGAGGAAGACTTTTTATGTAAGTACTTCATATAAAGAAGCATCTCATTCACTGGTACCTGGCAAATTATGTATTAACACAGTATTTTTTAGTAGAAACACTTCTTTTGGACTCCTCTGACATAAGTCATATGACTGTGCTATGCAATTCTAAAGATGCCATCTCTCCAACGCCACAAAATAAAGGTCTGGAGGAAGAGAAAATGGATGAAAACTGCAATTATTTAGGACAGACATTTAAGAACACACTTTCCTAAGAAGCTCATTTTAAAAATATTCCTATTATTTAGTTGTTTTCTTTGTATGTGGAGGCCAGAGGCCAACTTGTGTGGGTCAGGTCTCTCCTTATTCCACCAACTGGTTGTCAGGAATTGAACTTAGGTCATCAGGCTTGGCGGTAGTCACCTTCCTATGCTGAGCACCCTCACCTACTCTTGTTCATGTTATCATCTTCATTCTACTCTCTCAATTGCTCAACAATGCTTACTAGGTTTTGAGTAGAGATGACACTTCTCTATTATCTCTTTTGTGGTATCTATCCTTAGTTACTTCCTTTGCCCATTGTTCTTTTGTGTTGTTTCGAATCTTAAATATATTTATGTTTGTGTCTGTATCAGTAAATTTGAGGTCTACAAAATATAGCTATTGACTCAAGGAGCTAAAAGCATTCACTCTTTCAGAGTTAATGTGAAAATGCCAATCAAATAACTGCCCAATAAGAATAATTAGTTGCTAAGGAGCCTTTTGCTTTGACAACACTTGCACTGGTCTTTGTGACACTTCAAACCAGCAAATAAGAACCCTAAGTTCTTGTATAGGCTAAATTAATTTTCAACTAGTACTCAACATTTTAAGAGATTTACTGACCTTCAGATACAATCTTATTTATCGGAGATCAGATTACCAGATTGGTAAGATTCAGGAAATGGGGATTAAAGTGGACAGGCCCAGACAGGAGTCAAAGTGGTAGAAGGGAAGCCCCAAGTTCTGTGAGCAGGTATAAACTATGCCCTGTTAGCTGCCATAGGCAAAACTCAAGTTATATATTTTGTAAAGAAAGGTTCTCAGTCTAGTCTGGATTTAAAGGCTGACAGAATCTGATCTCAGCACATTATATACCAGACACTTGGTGGAGGTTAAGAAAAATGACTACGTTTTACTAGTGAGCATACTTTAAAGTTATAATTTCACATTCCTGTTAGAAAAGAACTGAGATATAAAAATAGGGAAGAAACAGGTCATTCTATGATGCACACCTTCCTTCATAACCACTGTGGTCCTGCAGATAGAATTCCGAGCTGTACATATGCTAGGCAAACACTACCATTGAGCTGCAACTCCAGATCTGTATGAAATGTTCTTGAAAGAAAAACAAAGCCAGGTGTGGGAGTGCATGACTACAATCCTAATCCTAATCCATAGGAGGCTGAGAAAGGAAGAATGTTCTGAGCTCCAGGTCAACATGGTTATGATTAAAAACAAAAAACCAAAACCAACACCAAAACACGGCCATGGGGTTCTGTGGGGAAAAGCATTTGTTACATGTGATTGGCGATATAGGTTCTACCAGAACTAGCCTGAAAATCAGGGTGTAACAGTGTAGCATCTATAATATCTCAGAAATGGAGTTAGATGGAAACCAGAGTCTCCAGGAGCTCCAGAGCTGCACCCCAAAAAGTCCAGGTGTGTGTGCATGAGAACACATGCATGCGTGTGCACACCTACACACACACATACAAACACACAAAAAACTAAAAAAAAAAAAAATTGTTCAATCAAGGTAGTTACAACATTTTCAACCCTCCCTCCAAAATTAAAGAGACTAAAATAATTATTATTTCTTATAACCATAAATAGTAATCTCAAGGCTAAGTAGCACTTTTCCTTCTCTGAACTTTTCAGGGTTCTTACATGAGGGAACTCTGGACTAGTTAAGAGCAAGAGTTCATAAATCACTCAACAATTACTAATTGAGTAACTAATTTTTGTTATGGGAGTAGAGTGCAGCACAAGACAAAGCCAAACACAGTATCTGCCTTCAGGAATGCTCCTGGAACTCAGGTGTGTTCCTAGCACTGAGTCTATATGCAGGCACAGAATGGGAAAATTAACCTACCCAGCAATGAGAAAGAAAATCTAACTTAACATATTCTTTTCAAGAGTTCTGATTAAAACAATTTTGAACCTTAGAATATCTTTTTCAACCACATATACATTAAAAGTTAAATGAGTCATGAACTGAATTTATAAATAAATACTATGCTTTAAGCAAACTAATGATGTCAAGTTTGAGTTGCCTTTCTTTTTCACTAGCAGGTTTAACTAAAAAATGCTACCTACTTCTTAAGGTATAAGGAACTGAGAGAATGTACAGTAAAGGCAGGCAAGATGGGGAGGAGGATGGAAGGTGGCGAATGAACAAGACTACATTCTGCGCTTCTGGCACATCACCTAAATGTTAGCCTAATCAGAAGCAATACAAAGGACATTTAGTCAAGTTTCCAGCACACAGACTGAGAGGCTCACAACCACCCGTAACCCCAGCTCCAAAGGATCTGATGTTCTCTTCTGGCCTCCGTAGGCATCTGCACATATGTGTGTACTCTCTGTCCTTCTCTGTCCTTCTCGTGTACACTTAAAAACATGTTAAAAACAGTTAATCTGGACAAGAATTAGAACTAAGGACTGGGGTTTCATTACTGAATCTTACTTGAGGCAATACTAGGAAAGGAAAAATGAGAAAAAATAACTGTTAAGACAGAAGATTTAAAAATCAAATACTAGGCCAGGCAGTGGTGGCACACGCCTTTAATCCTAGCACTTGGGAGGCAAAGGCGGGTGGATTTCTGAGTCCGAGGCCTGGTCTACAGAGTGAGTTCCAGGACAGCCAGGGCTACAGAGAAACCCTGTCTCTTTCCAGCACCTATGTTGCAGGGCTCACATCTGTAACCCAAGTTCTAAGGGATCTGATGCTCTCTTCTGGCCTCCATATGTCACCTCCATCTACATTTCATTCATTCACACATACTTAAACAAAACAAAAAACAAACCTTAGAAGTATTTTACTAATATCCTTATTTATTACCTATCTACCTTCCTACCTATAAACCAATGAACATAAGCTATAGGGGCTAAAGATAAAGCTCAGTAGTTAGCAGCCACCCATTCTCTGAATTACATATGGAATAGAATTTAGTTTTGATGCTGTGAATGGAACTCAGGGCCTGATACATACTAATATAATCTACCACTTAGCTATACTTTAAGCCTCCTATAGAAGGAACTTTAAAAGCCAAAGAGAATATAGATGTTTAAAATAAAATAGGTATTCTCAGGATATACATCTAAAAGAGCCATGGAAGGTGGAGTTATCCTAGAGAAGGGTCAGTTGTCTGGTGTATGACTACGGGTATATCTTAGTTTTATGTGTATGGATGAATATTCTTCATGAATGTCTGTGTACCACATATGTGCAGTGTCTCAGAGGCCAGAAGATGGTGTTATATCACGTTGTGAGCATGTGGGTGCTGGGAATTAAAGCCCATCCTCTAAAGAGCAGCCAGTGCTCTTAGTTGCTAGGCCCCTTCTCCAGCCCCCAAGTTTACTTTAACACAGTTGTAAGGATGTTGCTCGGTGTCACCCTGTTACATGCACCAGCATGAACGTGATCTAAGTGCATAATCTGAACTAAAGAGTCTAAGTGCTGTAGGCTCTGGAGTTACACATTTTATGTGGTTTGGAAAGCAAATGAGGACAAGGAGTTACTATACCACAGGGGCTGGAGGCCTGCTCTCATTATCTCATGCTTGGTAAGAAACAAATCTATTCATGTTAAGAGAGCCCATGCACAAGGATTTCAAATACAAGTGGTGCCTTTGGGCTGGGGCAGACACAGAGTTGGTCTGCTCCTGTCCTGTGGAGATACTGAATTCTGAGTCATCCTAGAAGAGACACTGCACTCAGAGCAGCCGGTAAGAATTCCATCTCACTCCATAAGCCCCAGAGATACATCTGGAAGCCAGGGACAGTCAGGACACAGCAGCTACCCAAACCCCGCCCCTCCGGAATTCCACTTCTTTCCGTGCCTGCCTGGTCCTTTGGGCTGGGGCAGACAGAGTTGGTCTGCTCCTGTGGAGATACTGAATCCTGAGCCATCCTAGAGGAGCCACTGCACTCAGAGCAGCAGACACCAAGGTGGTTTGCACTTGGGAGACATCATATCCTGAGCCATCCTAGAGGAACCACTGCACCCAGAGCAGAAGGATTTCCAGATCCAAGAGGTGGCCTGAGTCCCAGGAGTTCTTCCACCCAGGAGATTAGGATCATAAGACCACAGAGACCTCTGGACTCTGAGGAGCTCTGACACAAGCAAGATAACTGCAAAGACAGACTCCAGTCTTACACAGTGAGGGCAGGTAACACTAGAGTTAACCAGATGGCGAAAGGCAAGCGCAAGAACATAAGCAACAGAACCCAAAATTTCTTGGCATCATCACTCCCCAGTTCTCCCAATACAGCAAGCCCTGGACACCTCATCACACCTGAAAAGCAGGATTCAGAATTAAAATCACTTCTCATGATGATGATAGAAGATTATAAGAAGGAATTAAGTAACTCCCTTAAAGAAATACAGGAGAGTACAAGTAAACAGATAGAAGCCCTTAAAGAGGAATCACAGAAATCCCTTAAAGAAATGGAAGAAAAGACAAAGAAGGAATTAAACAAAAACATTCAGGATCTGAAAATGGAAATAGAAAC